TGGGCGGGCGTCTGAGTTACTGACTCGCAGGGATTCTGTGTTTACTCTGGCCACGAGCTGTGCTGGGGACACGCTGTGGACACGGACACGCCGCGCAGGGCTTTTCCAGGTGGGGGACCCTCTCTTCCTCCCGTGGCGCCGTGTGAGGAGACGTGGATCTAGGTGGGAGCGGCGTGTCCGCCGGCTCCGTGGCCGGTGCTTTGGGATGGCCTGTGGGAGCCTCTCCTGCCCACGGTCCCGCGGGAGCTTCCGGTTCTGCTGTCGCACGTGCACCTGCCGCGGGTGGTGTGTGTGCCCGAGGCGGGCGATGCATGGCTGTCCCAGGTGGAGACCCAGCTGACCAGCAGCGTTTACCAGGGAAACACCCTCCCCCACCAGGGCACCTGTGGGCCTGTGTCTGGACGTCCCGTCCCAGAGCCTGTGGGTCGCCGTGCCTGTGCCGGCAGCTCCGTGGCATAGGTGCTGGCGTGGCGGACGGGCGTGGCAGTGTTTGGCAGCCTCAGGCACGGGTGGGGAACCTTTTTTCCGCCAAGGGCCACTGGGATATTTATAACTCATTCGAGGGGCCACACAGAATTCCCGACTTAAACGTCAGCCAGCTGCACTTGGTTAAACGTTCAGCTGACTCACCCCTCAGGCCTGGGCAGGGCCAGACCGAGTGATTTCTCGGGGCTGTTACTGCCCTCGGGCCGGGGGTCCCCCACCCCTGGCCTGAGTCCTCACACCCTGTCCTTCCCCTCCAAGGTTGTCGGGGCTATGCTTGATCCTTTGCCTCTAGATGACTTTTCATTAACTGGTAAAATATACCTAAAATGGGCCATTTTAACCAGTTTTCGGTGTGCAGTTCCGTGGCATTTCGAACATTCACATTGTTTTGGAGGTCTGTACTTTTATTATTATTTGTATTGTTTAAACTTTTACATATGTCTCCTTTTTCCTGATTGCCCCCCCCCCCCTCCGCCACTCCCTCCCCAGGACAGGCCCCCACCGCCCCAGTGCCTGTGTCCATTGGTTGTGCTAATATGCATGCATACAAGTCCTTCGATTGCTCTCTTACCCCCCTCCCCTGCCCCTTGTCTCTGCATCTATTTTTGTTCATCAGTTTATGTTGACCATTATAATCCCGCAAATGAGGGAGAGCGTGTGAGGTTTATCTCTCTGACCGGCTTGTTCCGCTCAGCACAGTGCCCCCCAGGCCCCTCCGTGCGGTTGCACGTACAGTCACACTCCTGTGTGGCGTCACCCCACCCTCCTCAGAACGTTCCCATCGCCCCAGTCCCCATGACACGCAGCTCCCCCCGCCCCCCCCAACCAAACCGAACCCATGCTGCCTTGATGGATGACGATGACATCATCCCTATTGACAGTTCCTTGTCGTACTGAGAGCAGTTAACTTTTCCCCGAATCCCCCGTTCAGTGCCGTTCTGTGTGGGCGTGATGTGACTGGGGGTCTGACTGAGGGGGAAGGCTCCCTCTGCAGCAGGGGCTTTAGCCGTGAGTCCTGGCTCCAAGAGGGCAGGGTCTCCAAATGGAATTGCATCGCCGGGCGGCTGAAGGTCACTCTATCCGGAGGGTCCTGGCGCTGTTTTCAGCTGCTGTCATGGCAACGCACAAGTCATGTGGCCTGGGCTGGAAGGAGCTCCTTTCTGGGGGGTGACCCTGACCGGATCTTGCCGGCCAGATGCTCTGACGGACAGCTTCACAGCTGTGGCCCCTGGCTTGCCGGGCCCGGATGCTTTATAAGCGAAAGGGAAAATGCATGTTTCTGTGTTTGGTTAGGGAGGGCTCTGTGGGAATGAACATATGGAAAGATGGTGTGGCTGCGTGAGAAAGGGTGGGTTTGGGAATCAGAGCCTCAGTTTCCTGATCTGTAAAAGCGACAGAATCGCCCTCCCAGAGGTGCGGGGGGTGGGTGAAGGGAAGGCTTGAAGCTTTTGTATATATATGTATTTTATTGGTTTTTTCACAGAGAGGAAGGGAGAGGGATAGAGAGTTAGAAACATCGATGAGAGAGAAACATTGATCAGCTGTCTCCTGCACACCCCCTGGTGCCCGCAGCCAAGGTACATGCCCCTGACCGGAATCGAACCCGGGACCCTTGAGTCTGCAGGCCGACGCTCTATCCACTGAGCCAAACCTGTTAGGGCAAGGCTTGAAGCGTTTAAGAAAATAATTTAAAAATTTTTACAGTTGACATACACTATTACATTAGTGTCAGGCGTACGACCTAGGGATTGGGCCCTTACATAGCTTATGGGGTGGTCACCCCCCTAAGTCTGGCACCTTCTGACACCACACGGCTCCTGCAATGTGACTGCCCACATTCCCCCTGGAAGCCTTGAAGCCTTTCCCCAGCTCCGCACTGGCCGCGAGGTGGGCCCCAGGCAAAGAGCCCCCTTCCCGTCCCTCCGCCCAGCTGATCCTGGCCTTGCCCGCCCCCCACGGTAAACGTTGACAGAGCACCTACTGTGCGCCTTGTGCAGGGCACCGGGATGGAGGAAGCCCACGTTGTAATGCAGGTGTCTGCAAACTAGGGCCAAAGGGGACCCACCCCCCATGTTTGTCAATAAAGTTTTATTGGCACGAAGCCCAGCCCGGTGAGGTGTTGTCCAGGCTGCGTTCGCTGCCGCCGGCGGAATCGGCTGCGAGGCCTATTTACTACCTGGTCCTTTCAAGACAAGGCTTGCCCGCTCCTGTTCCAGCGGGTGGAGAGGGACAGTCGCCCCGGCACCACACCCAGGAGGAGCCGTGTGTGGCAGGATGAGCGGCGCTAAGCCCCGTGGAGAGACTGACCCCGGGCGGGGGCGGGGCGGGCGGTGAGGGAAGGCCACGTCCACCCAGTGTCACCCGAGCTGGAGGAGAGGGAGTGAGATGTCGACAGATGGTTTGCCCGAGCGGAGGGGGAGTGGAGCCAGGCTGTTCCCCATTCCTGCCCGGCCCGGCCCGGGCGTGAGTGACAGTGATGACGCCCTTGATGGCTTACCAAGGGCTTTATCACGTTTACCATTTTTTAAAAATGGTTTTATTGACTTTTAGAGAGAGAGGGAAGGAGAGGGATTGAGAGAGAGAAACATCAACGAGAGGCAGCTGGCTGCCTCCTGCATGCCCCCTACTGGGGATGGAGCCCGCAACCTGGGCCTGTGCCCTGACCGGTTATTGAACTGTGACGCTCAACCACTGAGCCACACCAGCTGGGCCTTTCCAAACCTTTGTACCCACCGTAAGCCCCAGTGCCCCTCCTGCCTCACAGCGAGGACTTCAGGTGCCCACTCCATCGTCAGCTTCCAGAAAGGCCCCCAGCGACTCTGTCCCGCAGAGCAAGATGGCACTGGCCGGCGAGGTGGCCTCGCCGTCACCCTCTGTGGGGACCTGCCAGCAGATGGCATGGCGCTGCCCCTTATAGGGTGCACCTGGGTGGCTCCGGTTCCCCAGCCCCCAGCACGCAGGAGCCCTGCCAAAGGGTCGAGGGGCCGAGGGAGAGAAGGAAGGAGGGAAGGACGGAAGGGGTCTTGTTTGGATTTGAGCTCTACCTTCTGGTGCCCTTGGCCAGCCTCCCAGCCTGCAGACCCTGCCCGTGTTCTGGTGTTGGTGAGGGGGTGGCAATGGCTGAGAAGGCCGGCCCGCATCTCCAAACGCATGCTCCCTGCTGGCTTCCCAAGGAGCTTGCACATGGCCATTGGCATGTCGGGGTGGGAGAGGCTGGGATGTCTGTGGGTCCCAGGCGGCAGAGGACCTGTTAGCTCAGTGCGGAGGGCCGAGGTGCTGAGGTGTCTGTGCCCAGCTCCCTGCTGCTTACGCTCCCAGAGGGACCCGGGACCCCTCCTCCAGGCGATGGCAGGTGGGGGCACATGGCCCCCTATCCAGCCTGGGTGTCCCCTTGCTTGCCCCTGGGTGACCTCCCCTCTCACTGGGCACCTAGGACCAGAGAAGGAGAAGGCCATTCTCCGCACCTCTGAGGGGCCGGGACCTGTGCTGGGTGGGTGGGTGGGGGGGCTCCCCTCACTCAGGGTCCCAGGGACCATGCCCGCCTGGAGCTAAGGGTCAGATGATGGAATGCCTGGGCTCGGTGTGTCCGATTCCTTGCAGCGCTGGCTGAGCAGCTTGGTCAGGCTCAGTAACACGGGCAGCCTCTCCAAGCCTCAGTTATTTAGTCTGTAAAATGGGGTAACCAGGTTGCCTCACTCCCAGGACTGTGGGAGGTGCCAGCCTGGGACCGGCCGTGTGGCTGGATTTGAGGCCGAGAGTAGATCTCACCTGTTGCTTTTTTAAAAATCGAGGTGAAACCCCCATACCGCTCGTTAAGCGTTGGAAAGTGTGCAGTCGCTGGTGTTCAGCGCATCGGTCACGGTCACCACCAGCTCTGTCGTTTCAAAGCTGACGTTTTGTTTTAAGGCGGGAATCCGGGTAGAGGAACTGGTCCCGCTCGGACCCTGGGACCCTGACCTTCCCCGAACCCCAGGTTTGGCGACTATAAATACATAGTGAGAGGAACAGTAATGAGGACAGCAGCCTTGCAGGACATTTCACAGAAGCGCTTTAAAAACACGCACATGTGGCCTGCGGGGGCGGAGGGCGCGCTGCTGCCCACCTCCTGCCGCCGGGGGATGTCAGGGCACTTGCCCAAAGTCAGTGCCAGCGGGCGTCCGAGCCAGCGTTTGTGTGAGTGTGTCACCCCGAGACCCTTCTGTCGAGGGGGCGGGCTGGCTTGTCCGAGGCCCTGGCCGGGCTCCATGCCCGTTTGCCAGTTTCCGACAGGGAGGAGCCTTCAGCCCAGTCTGTGGCTGAATCACGTCTGGATGAATGGAACTTGAGTGCGGTTGGAGATGTGGTTCCTCCGTCTCACCAGCCTCGGCTCAGGTCCCCCGAGTGGCCGGGACAGACCTGGAACGGTGTGGGCCGCTGGGCACGGGCCGGTCCCCGGTCTGTCCGGGATGGCAGGCAGGACAGTGGGACGCTCTTGGGCGTCTCCTGGGGGCCCTCCCCGCCTGCCTCTGTGCACCATGTGGTTGTCCGTGGCCCTCTGTGACGGGGGCCGAGTGACGCCCGTGAAGGCGAAGATGAGGCTCGCCCGGCGTCGGCCTCTGCAGCTTGGCCGGCGTTGGCCATCGTTACGGTGGATGATGGAACTGGTGACGGGACCCACGAGCTTCAGGTCTCCGGTTCCTTCCGAGGCCTCGAGTGCGATGCTTATTCGGGTGAGCAGGTGGCACGGAGGCCGGCGTCGTCCAGGGGGGCCGGGGACCAGGGTGGGGGCCAGACCTTCGCTCGGCCAGTGGTGGGAGGAAGGAAGACCCTCCCAGCCCAGGCTGTGCTGGAGGATTTGACTGTCCCTGTCCCTGTCCCTGGAGGGGCACGCCCTCTGGGTGAGCCCAGGGTGGGTGTGGGAAGCCGGGGGGATGGGCACACCTGGCGGGGAGGACAGTGCCAGGTACGCTTTGCCAGGGACCGAGGTGGAGGCTCAGAAAGCAGCCCGGAGGCGCTGGTGACATGGGGTGGGGTCCGCTGCCCGTGCTCTACCCCGGAGAGGCCAGCCGCGAGGCCCCGGGCGGCCCGTGGTGTCCCTGGGGTCAGGGGCGGGGCTTGCCTTCTCTCTGAGCTGTCCATCTGCTCTCCCGTGAAGCCAGAGTGCTCCGGGGCTCAGTCCCGAGTGGACACCGACTGGGCCAGCGTGTGGCCAGGAGTGAGGGCGCCGCCAACCCACGGGACAGACCTGTGCGTTCAAGTTGTCCTGGGTGGGGACAGGGATTGGGGCTGGCGTCCCGCGGCCGAGGCTGCACAGGGAAGGCCCCCAGATGGAGTGAGCGAGGCGGGGTCTAGAAGGAGGCCTGGGGGCTGGCGCCCGGGGGCCAGGTGGAAAGGGGCAGGCATTGGAGGCCGCCGGGTTTCCAGAAGCCGGAGTTTCTCTAGTTGGTGTCTGAGATCCGTCACTCGGCCGCTTGAGGGGGCGGTCGGGAGGGTGGGCAGTGGATCTGTGCCTGTAGCTGCCTGTGGTGCTGGCCGTCGGGGGGGAGGGAGTCTGGGCACCGTTGAGCCCCCGGCTGTGGCGGCT